CCCATCCCTTCTACCACTTGTGATGTCATCAGTATTAACAATCAAGGACAGTTTTGTCAGCAAACTTGTGAAGAGTAAAGAGATCTTTCCAACCATACATGTACCAGGATGAGCGAGATTTGGTCAAGAAGGCAGGGGAAAAAAGCAAAAAACCATGCAACGTTGATGCAAAACTTCCCATGAAAATCTTGCTCCCGTACCCACCTACCTCTTTCCTAAAATCCTTCCCAAAAACATTTCTTACCAAAATGTAGCCTACTAAATACCCAGCAAAAGAAAAAACAAGGTAAGAAAGCCTGAGAGGAGGGGAGGAGAGAAAAAGAAGAAAGAAAAGGTCAAGACCTCTGTGTCATTCTTAAACCCAAAAACTACATGTATCTTGAAATTCTGGTTTCTGCACCTTTTAACATCGCAAGCTAATATTTGCATCTGGATTAGAAGACCACGAAGTGTACAGTGTATGAGCTGTAAACAGCTTTGTGGTACATGTACGTCTTAGCTCTTTATGCAGACCGTGACCAGAAAACTGTTTGACTACAGCTGTTGCTTCAAAATGTGTTTTTCAGCAAAATTCCAAGGGGAAAATACATGCAAGTTAATAAGCAAAGAGAGGGGAGCAACAAATTGCTTGTTACAATATGCTTCAATTTCATGTACATTCAAGGCATACTACTAGTTTTTAACAGTTTTTTGACAAGCCTTATTCCCTTTTAACTACTGGTAGATTGAGCGAAAATTATATTACATTTACAGTGTATATATATCGTAAGATAACAGTATACAAGTCAGTTTTAGGACAGTTGTTGCCTTTTTTTCTGATTCTATGAATGTGTGGAAATTCTTAGATTCACACTTCTATGCATGAAACAGTAAGTTTTTTCTATTTCACTACAGAGTTTGCTAACTACAAAGTTTGGGCATTGCTACTTCCCATTTTTTTGTTAGCCTGTCACATGATCCAAGATAGAAATCTGATGTGAAAAACATGCAGGAGACTAACAGCCTGGCACATTAGTCCAAAATAGTGTTAAATAATTATTCTGTCAAACTAAATCAAAATAGTTTCAAACAAAATCCACAGACTAAAAGTGCTGCTTCTAGCTAACATATCAATCCATTTTGTTTTAGCGTTAACTGATAGCACATAAAAGTGAAGAATGATCATCGAAGTAAA